CCCCCCCCCCCAGTTATGACAACATATCTACACAACATGCAATATGAAGAATGTCTCTTGTCTCTGTTGGCTTTCTTTTTACTTTTGCGCATCTTGCTTGAATGACATGGTAGGATGGCTTGCTTATAACCTCCTGAAAATGTAGATCTTCTCCATTCCCCCTCGGGCTGATGGGTAGCAGTTGTGATGGCCCATGCCTGGTTGTATCCATCACTATACTTAATGAGACATGATTGATCTGAGCGGTTATGACACAACTGAAGTCCGGCTCGAAACTTGGCTCTGCCCATCTGGGAACTTGCCACTGGGCAATGGAGGAGTGCCCACTCCTTCCTCTGCCCCCCTTGCATGTCTCAAAGGGAAGCTGCTTTTTCGCAACAAAAAAGAGCTCCTGTCCAGCCAAGGAGACCTTTTTATCATCATAGAAGTCCTTTGAGATCCTGAAGGGTACACACGCGCATACACACAGGCTCATGGGAAACACTATTCTGCCTCACTGAGCCCTAATGTGTAATTGCCCATCATTAATAATTCCTTATGAAAGGAATGCTGACCTCCCATGGTAGCTGGAAACCAGGTTGCATTTAGTATTGTGAAGAATCAAGTGCATAAAAGCCATACATACTCATACACAAGGGAAGGCCTCTTATGCGGTGGACTATATTACCTTGTTTGCACGCAGAAGGTCTCAAGTTCACACTCTGACATCTCCAGGTAGAGCTGGGAGAGTACGCTACCTGGGAAATCACACTATTGTAACCCACTTACAAAGCTATATTGATGGAGGGATATGTTTTGTGCAGGAATAACCATCACACTTGAAAGTGCTGGGTACATTCCCCCTCCAACATTTCACAGATGACAACCAGGCCATGTGGCCAAGCAGTATCAAGAGTGTGGTCAAGATGCCAACAATTATCAATGAAGAAGAAGACACAAGCTAAGAGAGGCTGCAGCAGTTTGTTTTTTCCTGAGCCTACTGGGAAGCAATTGAATGCAAACTACTTTTGCGCTTTGAACTCAGTTTGCAGCAGTTGAGGTAAGCTGAGGACAAAGGTAGAAAGTGGAGGGGGAAGATGGGACATTTTAAAGGCAGCTGAAAACATGAGATGACAGAGGAGCTGCTCTGGCCAAATTGGCACAGTTGGAGGATATAATTCACCCACTTCTCTCCTCTCCCCCCACTGTTAACTAAATGCAAACCACTTTTGATTGAGCTCAGTTTGCAGCAACTGAAGCAAGCCAAGAACAAAGGGGGAAGTGGGAGAAACTGGGACATTTTAAAAGCAGCTGGAAAAGTGGGATGACAGAGGATTAATCATGACTGCCCCTGCCAAATCAGGACATTTGGAGGGTATGAAGGTAGCCTGCTGCAGCCATATGCTTTCCCAGATCTTGCAGGTTACCCTGCTGAGGCCAACAGGCAGGGAAATTGTCTTCTCTCTTCTTCAGCATTGCTTGCTTTAATG